GCGGCTCCTGGGAGGTCGGGCGTCCCCCGGCCTCGCCTGCCTTCGCCGGTCCTGCTGCGGACGTCTTGGCGCGGCGGCTCGGCTCCGGGGACAGCCGAGATTGCGATGGGCTGGGCGTGGGGCCGTTGCCTCTGGTTGAATAGGGCAGATGCGCGGAAGCTCCAACAGGTGGCTCCGTGGCGCAATGGATAGCGCATTGGACTTCTAGAGGTTGAAGGCATTCAAAGGTTCCGGGTTCGAGTCCCGGCGGAGTCGGAGTCTTTTTAAGACACTCGGGAAATTTCTTGATTTCTGCTTTTATTCCTTTTCGGTTGTGCAAACTTCTGCTCCCCGCCCAGCCACAGGACGCTGCGTGCTGCAACCACAACCTTGAGCTGCAGCTCCCGCGGCCACGCTTCCTCATTGCAGACCGAGCCGATCTCAATCGGGAAAAGGGGGACGATAAAGAAGCTGGGCGCTCGCTGTGGGCCTCGGTGAGCGTGGGGCAGGCCTGGGTCTCGCGTGACATTCCACGTCTGGAGCTAGACAGTGGCTACCAGCAGGGTGGAGGAAGCGCGCTGCCCAGACTAGCCGGAAGGCATTCTAAATACACGCCTCGCTCCCCCTCCCCCGAATCTCGAGGGGATCTTGTGAAAAAAAAAAAAAATAGATCTCAGCTGTCACTTCAGGATGCCATTTCGGTGGATGTGGGAAGAGGTCCAGAAATCTGCATTTCTGGGGTTGACTGCTTTCTTCGTCCACGATTTTAGTGCAAAGCAAAGGATTGAAATGGTCACTTTCTGCCTGCCAGTTCGAAAGGGGAGTAAATGTCTTGTCCCCTTGTGACAGGTCAACTTTGCACAAGGTTAGCGTTCCACTTCGCCAAATACAAATAAGCGTAGGAATGAAGGGAGTTTAAAAAATGTATTGTGCCGACAAAACCGTAATTGATGCAAAACACAGAAAATTCAAAACAGTCGGTTAAGGTCCAGGAAAGAGTACGCACCCTTGCTATTCCTGTGTCTGAGGCTTGAAATTCTCACAAGCCAGTAGTAATCATGACCACTTGAAAATGTTTTCCAAATTTTTTTAAATTCAGGAGTTAGCACTTTCTGTACATTGCTTAGTATTACTGGCCATATGTAATATTATAAAACACACTGCAGCTTATTACACCCGTTTCAGCTAATACAGGTAGAGCTGCCTTGTGCCATTGTATCCTATTGATTTAATAGCCCCTAATACTTAGACATTTAGATGTCCGTTATTTCCCATGACGATGCTTCAGTGAACTGCCTGTTCTCTGTGCACAGTGTATCTTTAAGATAGCTCTCTAGGAAGTTGTATTGCTGGCTCAAGGGTTGTTCCAGGATTCCTAATCTGTGCCTTCTTTGACAAGGTTTGGCAGATCCCCTTCCTAGGCTCCTTCCTCACTTTACTCTCCCAGCGATGTGCGAGAAAGCTAGTTTTCCTACAGCCCATGCTACCAAACACGTGGGAACTAATCGTAGCTTTAAACTCATTTTTTATTATTGTGCATGACTCTGAGCACCTTTCCATAAACAGGGCAACTTGTTTTTCCTTTTCTGTGCTTTACCTGTCCTTGTAGTGAGCTCATTTTCCTCTTGTGTCATTCACACCTGCTTAGGATGGCTGTAATAAAAAATGTTTTTATTTGTTTGTAGTTCTTTATCTGTAAGAGAAAACAGCTCTATGTTTTCAATAAATGCTATTTTCCAGGGCACTTGTGCTATTTTTATTTATAAACTCCTATTTTTGTCTCACAGAAATTCATCTATTGTGATCTATCAGTGTTTGCCAGCTTCCAGGTCTGAAGGTTCCCAGATTGTTAAATAATTCCCTTTAATGGTTTCATTTTTAAACCTTTGCTCTATCTGGAATATCTTTTGTCATGGAGCTTCTGGTCCAGACTGGCTGGTGATGAGTCCGCTGTCTCTTCCATTCTAATTTTATTATTGTCTAAATTCCTGCATACACTTTGGTTTCTGGATTTTCTAGTTTGCTACATTGGCCTGAAATTTTTACGTGCTATTTTATAGTCTAGTAAGGTCAGGTGTTTGTTGTTTTAAGAGATTTCTCCTTTCTAATCATAAATTATTCATTAATGTAATACTAATGAAGCTGGTGCTACACCTGCTGTGGTCTACAGTTATAAACAGTGTCCTCATGTTTCCCAGCACATGAGCTGTGGGGAAACAGGACTTCTCACACATGGCTGGGGAGACTAAAACGATCGTCTCTAGTTGGGACGTCAGAACTGTTTTTGCTTCTGTGACAAAATATGATAAATTTAAATTGATTTTGACTCCATGATTTTGAAAAGGAACCACCAACTTGTCTGTGCAAGGACAAGAGGCCAAGTCTGGTGCCTTACCTTTGTGTTCATTCAGGCGCGCTCTCAACAGCTTCTTCACAAAACACCAAGCTACAAAGGTCAGAATGTTTGCAGAGCTAGAGGCTCCTTATGACCTCATCAGCTGAGAACTGGCGGGACTGAGGAGCTTCCATGTATGGAAGACAAGGAGAAACTGTTACTAAGGTAAAAATCTTTGTCCCCAAGACTCCTTCGGGAAGCCTCCAGATGCCCTGGCTGCCAGGGGGCGGCGTCGTTTACCCCTAGTTGAGGAACTCTGGGAATCGCACATTCATACAATGAGCAGATGTATTAGCTTCCTGCTAGCTTGTGAGAAATATCCCCTCCACCACGTGAGTCATGGGAACAGCTGCCTGGGCTACTCTGCAGAAACTTGAACTTTTGCTAAGACGGATTCTTCACTAGAGTTCACACATACCAGATGGAGAAACATGATCAAATGCTTGGCATGGGATTTCCTACAGCATCTGTCCATTTTGCCGTCTTAACTTCCGGGTCAGCTCTAAGTAAAATAAATGCTCATCGTTTGAAAAAAAATATTTTGTCCAAAACTAGTAAAACTTGACCTGTTGCCAGTAGAGCTGGTGTTTGTTCTACCCCACCCTTGTGCTTTCGAGACAGCTTACACACCTACAGTCCCTATAAACCATGAGACTAGAATGTTCCATGAGGAACTCAGCACTTTCTGAGCCCACCAAATAAAAGGATAGTTAGTGTGTGTGTGTCTGTGTATAAAAGAAGCATGTCTTTTGAAACCATGTTAGAACTAATGAACAATGACCAAAGAATAGTCTATCCAAGAGGAATCAAAAGTCTGCTGTTTTGTCTTATTAAGTGAACAGCCCAATCAGTATTAGCTTCCTTCTATTCCTATGCGGAAGAGCCAATAAATGGAGCCTGGAGGCACAGGTTTAGAATCTGAATCACTCTGTATTATATATATTTTACTATCTAATACTCAAAGCATTTCTGAAAACCAGCTGCTCATGCTAATATCTACCCCAGATACAACGATTCTGCTAAGTTCCTACAACGTCAGAGCATGTACACTGCCCAGAAATCCAAAAGCAAATATCACGGCTTGGTCTCATTTCTGTTGTGCCTAAGCCATAAATCCTGCTATTCAATCTCAATTTTAGTCCATAGTTACTTTGGCTTGATTTCTTCAGTGTTGTATTGAGACAGAACATCATGATGGGCGCAAGCATGAAACAAAACAGGACACACCAGCAGATGGAAGGCGGGGGTAGGGGTAGCAGATGCAAGATAATAGACTTCCTAAAGACATGTTCTCAACAAGGTCCTAAGTTTCCACCTTCTAATAGCCCATCAAAGAATTATCCATAGATGCATCAAAGCCCTCTATAAGCAGGCCTCAGTGATAAATTGGCCCTTTGGAAGCTCGTCTGTGAATTACTAAGTTATAGGAGCCCACCCGATGTACACCTGTAGGAGCCCCTGTTATTAAGAACTGGAGAAGCAGCTGGGTGTGGTGGAGTACTTTGATCCCAGCCTTGGAAGGCAGAGCCTGGTGGTTCTTGGAGCTTGAGGACAGCTTAATCTGTCTAGTGAGTTCCAGGACAGTAACGACTGCATCGTGAGACCCCGTCCAAAACAAACAGATGAAGGAACAAAGCCCCAAACTTTACGAGTCCACCCAGGACCATATTCCAAATGTCTCATACACCATTGTCGAGCGTGGACTTAATGGCCATGGAAGTGCTGGACAGTTGTTAGCGGGGAAGCGGTATCGTGAGTTTTATTTATGTCGTTCCTCTGCTGCAGGGTAGACATGGACTAAGGCTACTGAAGACACTAAAGTAAGGAGGTATTGAGAGCTAGGATGGGGAGGTGGTTGAAGAGGAGGCTGAGAATGGTACTGGAGCTGTTTCCCAGGACAGACAGGGATGCACGAGAGAGCAGAGGCCGCTAGAGTGCCAGAGCTCAGCTGTTTGTACTTGGGCCAGTGGGTGCATGCTGACGTAATTGAGACAAAAAATAAAAATGCAGGAAGGAGTGTATGAGGATGAGTTCGGGTATGTGTTGACTCTGAGGTCTCTGGGACACCCTGGGGCTTTACTGTTGGAACTTAGACACAATGCTAAGCCCCGAACAAGTTCCCTGTGAATGTCTACATGGAAGGGCACAGCAAGGA